TACATGTAAGGGATTACATTATATGAGTAATGTAACAAGAGAAAATCGTTTTATAATACATTTCAATCCGATATTCATAAATGATTGAATGGTAGTGATGGAATTTAATATGCGTTCATTAGGTACATGTTATTCATGCGGCGATAAACCTTACATGAAAATTTGAATAAAATCTCTTGCATTTCTTATTATTACATGGAAGATTATATGTAATGTTCGCCAGGAGAGAATACCGGTCACAAACCGTATGTTTTTCACTTAAAGAAGAAAAGAAGGATAAGAGATGATTGTAAAGTGAAGCAAATTTTAGCTCTGTTTGCCACCAATAACATGGCCACCTGAAGTCCTGTTTCGTGGGATTAAAGCATAAATCGTACCGTACCATTTTCACAAAATAACAATGAAGTTAATTTATACGCTTACAATGACACAGCTGAAAATACATTTGCACGGCATAAATAAGAAGTAAAAAAGCTTTGTTTGCCACCAAGGTGTGGGAAAACTGTAGCATTGCATTTGATTGGATGTTACAAGAAGAAGGTGGTCAAGCTGTTGATAAAAAACAATTTTTTTTCGAAGAAATCAAACCTCGCCAACGTTTCTTGAGAACTTCCCTACAAATACAAATGTGGTTAGGACACCCGATGGATCCGCTCAGATCTCTGGGGATGGCAGACTTCAAAGTTTGGTCTTGACCCCGTTTCTAGCTCCAAAGAGCCAGGTCCACAGTCTCTTCTTTCCACAATTGTTTGCAAATGCAACAAGGGGTTTGGTTGGTCCTGTACTGACTCCAACCAGATGCAATGGACGAACCAGCTGTTGACTAAGACCTGGACTGCATGTATGGGGTGACGGAAATTACAGAGTTTGAGGAGCCGAGTGGCCCAACGACAATTAAATGTCGACATCTGTAAAATTTGTGTTTTTCTCCCTTTTCTTCTTACTTTTAAGGTTAAATTTTGTTATTTTAAATTACAATCATCTGTTTCGAATTCTCTAGGAACACCACCCTTCAACTCTTTCAAATTAAAAGATATTTACACCTGTTTTCTATATGTCAATTTTTCTACAACTGCCGGTTACTGTTCTAGCAACAATTCCATACCAAAAATGTTTCAACGAAGTTTTTTATATTTTTCATTGAATTTATTTTGTTAATCTTGCATTTAATTGTTATAATCTAGTTAAATAAATGTTGTATATAGTAAAAAAAAACTAAGCGTTTGCAACAAAAAAATTTGCGGATGAAGTCCTAAATTTTCCACAATCTTAATTAAAAGTTCAGTTCATTTCGTCAAAATGTAAGGTCCAAATTTCATGATTATTTTTAAGTTGGTAAGATTGTGGTGAACATTTCTGAGTGCCAAGTTCAATTTATTAAGAGGGATTTCAGTGTTCTGTTGGCATTCATTGATAACATATGTTGTATGCCAAACAAAATGCACCTTGTACGGTCATGGCACGTTTTAAAAACGATAATAGGCTTTCATCTTGAACATCTTCCCCCTTTTTTCTTTATAAGTCATTCGTTGCCCTGTGAAGCACTTATCAGCTTTGTGAATCCCATCACAGAAGACACACTTATTACTAGCCCTGTTACAGTAGGGATTTATTCTTCTTGGAAAACCCACAGTGGCAAGAGCAATCCTCTGTAGATTGTTGCCATATTCTCAATATCTGTTCTGATAAAGATGACTCTACCAAAGGATACCGTATGGATTCGTACAAGTGGCAATAGTTTTCTTACGTAAACTTCAGTCAGTAATTCGTTGACCTCAAAGATTCGATGACTTTATTGTAGTTGCCCTTCGTCGGAGGAAAACTTTCTACCAACTCTGTTGCTCGAGTCCCCGGAGGCTTGTAACAATTTTGGAACTTGTCCTCAGCTGCAATACATTGATCTTCGTGAATATTCAGGAACAAAGACCAAAACAGCAGCCATTCACGTATTTCACCTCCAAATTTCTTGGACTCGATTACTGGCAGTTTAAATGTCATCTACTTGATGAGTCTATTAGGCGATTGAATTATTGATGTACTCCCGATTTAGTGTATGAACGAACAGGTACCTACTAGATATGATATGAGAAGGAAGATCTTTGTATAACACAATTTTGAGAAGGAAAAGAATGTGGTTTCCTCATGTGCTAAGAGTGAATAGTTTGTAGAAAGGCATGATCTAAGGAGCCATTGAGAGGACAAGAAAAAATTGAAGAAGTGAAGATGGTAGACGATCTTAAAGCGGGGAGAGGGCACGATGATATGGAATAGAGCAGAGGGGAGACCGCAAAATAGAAGCTGCAACTAAAAACAAGTTAAAAAGTAATCGTAAACGATTTACATAAAGCGCATTTCCACTTGCATTCATTTCCCATTTGTAAGATGCAACTTCTGTTAAAATCGTAAAAATCCCGCCACAAATATGAAAATAGCGTTGCACATGGGCAATCCATTTTTGACGTGCTACTTCAATTTCAGTTTATGAGAAGAATTTCATTTCAATGCTTTTCTAAATAAGAAAGTTGGAACTGCGCATGCGCAAACCTAAATTTTAAAACTAATGTTAGATTTTCCTTTGTTTCAAGCGCCTAAGTATCAAATTTCACTTAAATGGTTCCATAGATAAAAAAGTTGGCACTGCGCATGCGCAAAATAGAATTTTGAAACTGGCGCTAGATTTTACTTTATTCCAAGTGGCTATGTATCAAATTTCATTTAAATACTTTTATAATTAAAAAAGTTTGCAATTCGGTTTATAAATGGTCGAGATGCGAAAAGGGCACTGTGAATTTTGAATCGATTCGACTCAACTTTTGGCATTACGTATTATATGGCTAAAGCTATGCCCATATTGAATTTCATGCAATTCAGTTCATAACTAACGGAGATGTAAAAGCAATCGGACATTTCTAAACAAAGTTATCGTTCACACGGACAGATAGAGGGACAGACAGACAAAGGAACAGACGGACAGACCAACAGAGAGACGACAGACAGCAATACAAAATTATAAACGATCTCTAGGATCGTTAATAAACGGCAAAAGTGTAAAATTATGAAACATGTAAAAAACGGTTTTTTGTTTTTTTTACAATAACTTTTTTTGTAAGCGGTACAGAAAAAATTCCTTCCTTGGTGCAAGACTCGACACCATAACGAACCAAATATTTATGGAAGAATTTAAATGAAATGTGATACATAGGCATTTGGAATAAAGGAAAATCTAGCGCCAGTTTCAAAATTTTATTTTGCGCATGCGCAGTGCCAACTTTTTTATCTATGGAACTATTTAAGTGAAATTTGATACTTAGGCGCTTGGAACAAAAGAAAATCTAACATTAGTTTTAAAATTTAGGTTTGCGCATGCGCAGCTCCAACTTACTGATTTAGAAAAGCATTGAAATGAAATTCTTCTCATAAACTGAAATTGAAGTAGCACGTCAACAATGGATTGCCCATGTGCAACGCTATCTTTCATATTTGTGGCCGAATTTTTACGATTTTAACAGAAGTTGCATCTTACAAATGGGAAATGAATGCAAGTGGAAATGCGCTTTATGTAAATCGTTTACGATTACTTTTTAACTTGTTTATGATTTAATACTTTTTTCGATTTAAATCATTTGATTTTAAATCTTTTTACGGAAAATGATTTTTGATTTAAGATTTAAATCTTCATGAAAACTATCTTTGATTTTGAACTTAAAAAATGATTTAAATCTTTTAAAAAGATTTAAATACTTTCGAAAAGATTTAAATCGTTTCCGAGTGATTTAAATCTTTTAGAGACGATTTAAATACATACTAACAAATTCTTTTGATTTGTTTCAACCTGACTAAGCTAATTAACCCGGGTTTTATTTCGGTAGACGTTTATATGTATTTATTCTAAAATCGAGTATACTGAGATTGACGATGTCTTGGTTTTTTAAAATCTCTTTCGCAAACAATACATATTTTAATTTAATAAATAATAACAATAAGATACGGTAGAAATGGTAGGTATATTGATGAATGATGTTGAGAGTTTCGAGCAAGATCATCAGACCAATCAGTTTTATTGAATTTAAATCCTTTACAAACCTTTTGTCACAAAACGATTTAAATCCTTTCACAAAACGATTAAATCATCGGAACATGATTTAAATCTTTATACGTGATTTAAATTAACAAAATTAGATTTAAACCTGTTTGAATGAATTGAATACATTGAAAGTATTTTAAATATTTTCTAAAAAGATTTAAATCACAAAAAATATTTAAATCTCAAAATGATTTATTATCTAAATACTTTCTTATTGACAAAAGTATCTTTGATTTAAATCATTTGTTAGAATGAAATGCATCTTTGATCTTTGATTTAAATCGTTTTTTAAACGCCTGCCCTTAGGTAAAGTTCTGGTCTAAAAAATTTCGTTGGGGTTGCGAATTCATACAAGATGATCAAAAACGGTAGGCCTCTTGAGGCAAAAACGCGGGACACCACAAAGGAAATTTAAAATATGGTGTTGTCAGGTAGAATAATTAAAATTTCAGGTTATTGAAAGGGAAGTGCAACAGTGTTTAAATACTGAATCATATCATTGCTATTACCATTACTGGCTCCATTTTTGCTAACGAACAATTTATAGAGAGGAAGTTAAATTTTGAACAGTTTAACAAAATGTATCGCGTTAGCAATTAAGTTCATTCCGAGAACTTTGTTATCAAATCTTGTAAATACTGCGTCAGATATATAATTCAAATTCCGCAGTGCATTGTTAAGAAAACCCATTCAGTGATAAAAAAGAGACGAAGACCCGACCAAACCATTCAATTGCAACTAATGTGTGCCAAGGCCAGAACGGACAAAAGTCCAAAAATGATCATACTTCTTATCTTCAACGTGTAGAAAATAAAGCAATACTCCATGTAAGCAAATGTTTCTTTACAAATATAAAGTGACAGTTTAATCAGTTTACCTGGAAAAAATAGAACGCATGTCTCATTATAAAATCTGGTGTGCGTACAACCATGGTAACAGTAGTTAGAACATCGCTAAGATGAAATTCAACGTATTGGCTACGGTTCTTTGTTTGATGGCCGCGGTGGTAGTTGTTCACCCGAAAATTTCTCATAATAATTTAATGGGTAAAGTATTTATGTAATGAATCTCGCACAGCACAGTAATTTTTTGGTTGTAGAACTGAGGCAGACTAGACCGCTAATTTTCGTGCAACTTGAATGTTTTGCCAAAAGCTTTGCCCATGTGCCCGTAAATTTTGTATCGGACATTTTAAACAGGATACTCAATATACTAGGCAACGTATCCGGATGTCAAGGAGTACCTAGTACAAATCTACTAAACATTATAGGCAACCTTTTCCGATGTCTTTTAGGAGTGGTTTTCACGCCCATACCTGCAATAGGGGATCTTTTGAATAATATATCGGGGATATTTAAAAATGCCTCAATTCCGGCCTATATCACAAATTGTATCGCCGAAGCGAACGTTACAGTCCCTACCCCGACAAGTTAAACCTAACTATAATTTAAGGAACACACCTTTTTGTTAGAATTCATTTTCTTTGTGTTAGATGGTTTGTTGGTGGATACAAAATATACATATTTTACATGAAATGTGATCAATTTTCACGTTCCCGGTTGTCACTTAAAAATGTTCTTGTAAAAAATTTAGTTTATTGCCATGGAAGAATCAACAGGAGCTATGGATCCTAATTTTAATTGTATGCACCTATCCTGTGCATGATAACTACGCCTTATTAGAGGTAGACAGTGGCAGTGAAGAATTAAATAGTGAATGTGTTTATTGAGACAGAAACAGACTGTTGTCATGATACGTGTCGGCATACTGCCATACGCCACGAAAATTTAGAACATAGAAACAAATGAGCAACTTACGACACGTTACATTAACAACGCGGGACCCTACGATTCGAAAATGTGCAAATTCAGATACGAGCTGGTAAAAATGGAGGTAAAATTGATACAGGCTGCTAAAAGAAAGGGATAATTTTTGAAAAACCAAATTGAAACCACCCGCTATCTAAAATCCGCGAATAGTGCTTGGACTACGAGCTACTGCGCAGCCAGCACCACCGTTTTTCCATCCCACCAACATTCAGCCACTTTTACCAATTACAAGGGGGTTTCAGTTAAAAAAGCCTGTATTTTATTTTTGAAAGTAAGTATTTATATTTACTGATCGAATGTAATCAGGCTACCTGTTATAAAACACCGCCACCAGTAGTTAAGTGCAGCTTGTGACCGAGGCCAGTTTTGCACTAATTATGTCTTCGTATTGACCCCACGTCGAATCTATAAGGACGCCAAGGAAATTAATGGATACCAATTCTTTTGTTTGACCATGATGAAGAGAACTGAATTTTTTGTTTTACTAGCATTTAAAACAGCTTATTAGCACTCATCCAATTCCAGGACTTTTACCCTGGCAGAAGGAATCTGATCGTCCAGCGAAAGAAAGGTTACTCGACACTACACTAAGTCTTATAAAGCACTCAGACTATCTGCCGATGAGTAAAATCTATGTTATCCTTGAGCGGAATAGATATTAAGTTAACACGCACATTTTTCAAAGAGAAAGCATAAGGCCGGTCGTCCTTTGGATGCGTTTTCGTCCGAATGGCCTTCGTCAGAAATCGGACGAAGAAGTGCGAATCATGCCGTTTCATTGAAACCTATTGAAGCTCGTACACTGCGTCCGAACTGCTTCGTACGAATTCGGACGAAAACATGCGATGTGCGATCTATCCGAAACAAATGGGATTGTTCGCAGTTGTTATGACGAATTCATAGTCGATTTGTAACAGACCAAGATGGATGTTGAAAAATTAATTAATTTAATTTATGAAAAAAAGCCTCTGTGGGATATGACCGACAAATCATATCACATGAGAGACATACAAAGAAAATTGTGGCAAGAAGTGGCAGTTGAAATGAATACTAAGGGTAAGTTAAATCAAATTTGGGTCTCAGGTATGATATATTTGCAAACAAACAAAATATTTGTCTTTGTTGGCTCAGTGAAATCCGAAATGTATTTGAATGTTTTATTGATTTTAAATTATGCATTATACAATTCTTGAGATGAAAAATAAGTTTTAAATTTATCTCTGATATCATAAGCTGAACTGGTGCCTCTGTTTTCACCCAAGGTTCCAAATCTTCCCGTTCTAGAATGTGTTTGATCAGGGATTTGCTCGAATGTACATGCTACTTGCTGCTCTCCTTCTCTATCAATTATAATGTTATGCAACAGGCATATACATTTAATAAGTTTATCGGCAGATTCGGGATTTACTTCAATTGATTTTTGTAATAATCTCCATTTGGCACTCATAATTCCGAATGCACATTCAACAACTTGTCTTGCTCGAGACAAACGCTCATTAAAAATTATTTCTGAAGGTCCTAATTTTAATACTGGAAAAGGTCTCATTAAATAAGTTTTGAGTGGATAAGCTTCATCTCCCAAAAGAACATGAGGTACTTTAATATTTGTTCCCGGCAGTGGACAATGTCTTGTAACACCTAATCCTCCGTTTTCAAGCTTTTGGCAAAGATTTGAATGCGAAAAAATACCACCGTCAATTTCTTTACCATACGCTCCCACATCAATTGCTATAAATTTGTAGTTTGGTCCAGCAACGGCTTGTAAAACAATTGAGAAGTATTGTTTATAGTTCCGATACATGCTTCCGGAGTGCTTTGGATTCTGTATGCGTATGTGTTTCCCGTCTATGCATCCAACGCAGTTTGGATATTTCCACTTATTCCAAAATTCTTCAGATATAGACTGCATGTCTTCATTTTTCGGAAATGGCATATGTACAGTACCCAACTTGTCCCAAATAGCATCACACGTTTCATAAACAATTCTACCCACCGTGACGTCTGATATTCGAAACGAATACCCCAATGTCTTGAACGAGGAGCCTGTTGCCAAATATCTAAAAAAAACGTTATTAATTGTAACGATTTTTTTTTAGTTGATGAAGTAAAATCAAAATGGAGGGGGCTGCGAGACACATTTCGAAAGGAATTCAACAAGTCGAAAAAACAGAAATCTGGAGATGGTGCAGAATCGGTAGTTACCTCCAAATGGCCATATTATAAAATACTGTTGTTTTTATCTAAAACTGTTGAACGACGTAAACTGCATGGAAATATATCTCCGCAAAAGGAAAACAATGACAACTCTTCTTCCGAGACAGAATCGACATTGGAAGCTGCAGACAATGCATACTCTGACACTCAATCCACCATTCAAGAGTCATCACAGCAAATTGTAAATACAGATATTCACCAGCCATCCACATCTGGTAACAAGGTAACAAGTACATTCAATAAACCTAGTAGTTCAACTTTGCAAAGTAAGAAAAACACAAACAATCGTCTAAAATATGCTAAGAATTCCGAGACAAATTCAATGGACGAAAAGTTCCTCGAAATAGAAAGAGCCAAATTGGAAATATTGTCTCAACATAAAAATAGAGAAGGCGGTGATAGTGAACACCAATTCCTACTAAGTCTCCTGCCATTTTTAAAGGCTGTACCTCACAATCGACAAATGTTGGTGAGAAGTAAGTTGCAGCAAGTATTTCTTGAGGAAGAACAATTATCTACAAGACACACGCCCGGAGCAACATATCGTTCCAATGAAACAATTACAACACCGTTGCCTTCCCCAATGTCTTACACGGACACCGATTCCTCCAGAGCGTCATTCTATTGTAATGACTTAACACCACATCGTTCTTCATCTTTGAAAAATACAGTATCTTCCGGGGTCTCACAATATTCAAGTGAAATAAGAGAAGATGTTTCCTATCAACAGCCGTTGTCCATTCAGAACTATGTTTCTCACTTCAGCGCATAAAACAATGTATTTCTTTTCTTTGTATTTTTAAATAATATAATTCAAAATGTTGCAACTACTGTATTTATAACTTACCTTATAGTCACACTCAATCGTTCTTCTGGCGAAATGGTCTCACGGAAATTCGACATTTTTAGCGCATTTTTGAAAAAAATACGCTATTATATTCGTCATTGCTGGCAGGCCGGCTGTCCGCGTTAGATCTCCACAACTACAATAGCTAGAGAATTCAAATTTTCACTAAAAGCTTTCTGCTATAGTGTAGATGTGCAGGCACTAGTCTATTTTGAGTTAGATTACTTGTAAGATCGATAATTGAAGAAAATAATTTCGATATGGGTTTCGGAGGTACTATAATTTTACCGTTAGATAGCGTTACCAGTATAAAAACTTATTATTTACTTTGCGATTTGTTTTACAAAATGAAGACGTACCGTCAATTGAAATTAAATAAAATTAATTATTTAACGCAGCCAAAATTACTCGTGAGATCGATAATTTTAAACTTCGCTAATAAAATACTGACCTGTATTACCAAAAATGCGCTTTAATCATGCATATGCTGATTTACAACTTGTTCCCTTATGGCATCTAAAATATAGTTAAATGTATCCTGATTCATGCGATAGTAATCAAAAAACTTTTTCTCGTCCTTCTTCAAATCATCATATAAATGATGAAATTCTCCGAATTCTTTTCGTTTTACTAATATGTCATTAACCCAACACTTTTTTCTTTTTAATTTTAATCGCCGTCTAACAAGATAACTATTTTCCAAAAGAAAATGATCCATATTATTAATAATTATAGTATGCTTATTTGATAAATCATCACTACATACGACTGACTTCGTACAATGCGAAAACTTGTCTAGTGGACGATACACATTATGCGAAATCTGACGAAATTATTCGTCCGATTTCTGACGAAAATAATTCTGACGAAAACGCATCCAAAGGACGACCGGCCTAAGGAGAACATAAGTGATAAACAGTGTCAGTACTTTTATACATCTTTCTGCGTTTCTGTGATACCTACTGGTGCAACAAATTAAAAGAAAAATCCCTTTACCTTCATAAATTAAATAGAGCGGAAGGCTAAATCGAGTTAAATGAACTAGGTACGAGTAACTAACAAGTTTCAGCTAACGAATATTAAATCAAGCTGGACTAATTTGTATGCCGAAGCGCTTTTAAACGATTAAAGATGCTTAATTAGCATTGCTCCCAGCTTTTTTTCATTATGCATGTTTCCGGTTAAATTATTTCACTATTTAAAAGGCCCACCGTGCACGCATGTAGGTAGAATCTACTTTATATGGCAGAACGTAAAGGGTTTCCCTTCGAGACTTCATTACTTCCTTAATAACAGTTTTGACAATTACCCTGAGATTGCTCAATGGTACCTAACTGTGCAACTAATTAGCCAAGCACACGCCGGATATTAGATAGCTAATTATGTACAATCTGCAACGAGATAATTTCAGGAAATTAGTCGTAATAATTAGCGGTTTAATTGCAATTAAAACAGTTCTACTCTTATTCTGATGTTTCCACCATGTGTTTGCACGTATTCTCTTATAAAAGCTGTCATTTCCTCTAGCCATAATTTCCCTCCGATTTTTGCTTTTCCATCACTTGGTATGATTTTCATGCCATATCTAGGAACGTTTTGACTGCCCTATTGAGTTCACTGTAGAGGGGCTTCTTTTATGTCGTTA